GTAGTCACTTGGGATATTTAAACATTTTCTTCATTGACTTTCTGGGCCGTCAAGAGGCAGTCCCTTAGGAGCCAATGTGGTAGTAATACAGCTCTCAAATTTAATCAAAAATATCTTCATTTGTGTTCCGAAGACGAACGAAGGTCTTACGGGGTTGGTACAGCATGGGGGTGAGTAATTAATGACTTAATTTTCATTTTTGGGTGAACTAACCCTTTAAGCAGTGCAGATATTCTGAGGCAAAATACATGTTCAGTCATTTTCACGTAAGTGTCCTTGTGATAACAACTGGAAGTGGGTCATTTTTGCATCTAGCCAGTTTCATGTTTGCAACTAGTTTGATAATGTCTCACTTAAAGAAATACAATTAAGTACACACACCCTTTACATTTAGTTTCACAAGTTATGCCAAAAACATATAAAAATATTATATAATTGTATAATTCATAATACAAATTGATAAATCAGGGATGGGCAGTATTCCAGATACATGTATTTAAAATACGTATTTGAAATACAGAATACTATTTTAGTATTTTAAAGCCTTTGAAAAATGTAATTTGTTTAAAGTATTTGAAATACAGAATACTATTTTTGTATTTTAAAGCCTTTGAAAAATGTAATTTGTTTAAAAGTTTAGCTTTTTTCAAAATACATAAAATGCTTATACCAGTCAATCTCCTGTATCAACTAATTCACGCCCCCAACCCCAACTTTCATGCATGTGGGCTGCAGCTGTACGACTCCATCCAGCATTGGGTGAGTACATTTTCTGCATTAATAAGGAAGAAGATAAGGTGAGGACGTCATGGTCAATTCTATTTGTTGATTAAGTTTAAAATTGGAACATTATTCAGATTTACTATCAGTTTACATGAAGAAATAAAAGAGCAATGGGCCACCTTTTATTCACTGGTACGAATTGGTTGTGAGATAGTGTTGTGTTAACAACATACAGTATATACTGTTTGCTAGGACTGTGTGATATGAAAATATATATATATATATATATCATATGATAATATAAAGTGTGAATCAATTCAGTTTTTAATGTTATGTATATGTCAATGTGTTGCTTTTTAATATGTTTTTAACAAACCTGTGAAAATTCACAAGTCAACACCATTGCTGAGTATTTGCTCCTTACAACTCCAGTGAAATAAAGACAGTCTCAAAAATGTGGTTTGAAATCATCTCTCTTCTCTACGTCACAAACATGTAAGCTAACCAATCACGTCAATATGCGGGACGAGGCTTAGCATATCATTAAATATGCTGCAAAGCAGGGTGTTCTCAAGAAGCTAGTATATTATAATAAATAAATATATAATATTATAATAAAATCTGGAACATTTAGCAACAGAGGGATAGAGGGTGATTTACTGTATGTGTATATACAGTATGTTATACTACTAAATGCCTTCTCCACTTGACAAGTGTTTCTTAGGATACTGATTTCCAAGATAATAGTCAGAGATTGTTAATGGGAACATGGTTTGTGTAACATTAGAAACACATTATTAGCCTTTTGATAACATGGTCAAGCTAAACATATTGATTACCATTTTGTGTCTGAGAGTGATACATAAAACACATTACCATTTTGATACATCGACTTATAAACAAACCCTGTACCTCACTCTTCCTCTTGTGAATCAGTTTCTGGCTTGGTTGAATTAAACCAGTATTTTCACTTGCAATTGTGTAGCCAACATGACATCATGACTTTTGCGTAAACATATACGCCACTTTCGAGTCAGGTGGCGTGTTATCTCTACGCATTTTGAGCTATCCGCGTGTGTCCGCGTGTTTGCGTGTATGTCTACGCCATTAACGCCCGCGTCATTCCGCGTGTCTGTACACACAGTCAAATCTCCAGTCATAAATGCCATTAACCCCAGTGACGGTTAAGTTTAGGGATGGGGTTGAGGTAAGTCATATCTTTTTTTTTACCTAGGATGGTAAGGGAACAGTCATAAATGCCATTAACCCCAGTGACGGTTAGGTTTAGGGACGGGGTTGAGGTAAGTCATATATTTATATAACGTTAAGTCAATGGCGTTCATAAACACGCTGAAAGGCGATTATGCGTCTTGATAGCACGCCAAAAATGGAAATACGAATTGGCGTGTCATACACACGCTACTTCATGAGATCAGTCTGGTGTAGCATTTACTACAGTTTACCGAGTGTATCAGGTATTCGTGTGATTTATTGGAGGTGGATAATTTGCATATTCTGACTATACTAAATGAAGCAAGGGTGTAGAGTTACATTCAAGCTATTTCAAGGCATGAAGAAATTCTTCTTCTCTTTCAAGTTAGTGACGAAATGCGTTGTTTGTTCGCTGTCGGCTACGGTAGAAACATGACGTCAGAATATGTTGGCCTTCATAGAAGGGGGTGCCCGCGGTTATGTAGATATAAATGTCTCATTCTAAGATAATAAAAACATTACGGTTTATTAAGTAAGTTCTTTATACACCACTGAAAACAGTTATGGATGTCATATTGAATTTATGTTAATAGATACTCAAAATTGTTACACATTGCACCTTTAATATGAATCAATTTATATTTAAATCATCCAGTGAAGACTATGCAGTGTTTTATTTGACATTTTATTACTTTATTAAATTTCTGTAGTATTTCTTACTTGGCACTCTTTATTTAATTTGTCTCTTTTTTGAGTGAAAACAAGTTTCTAAGCAATTGTATTCACCAATATCTTCTTTGCATTCAGAATAGGTCCAGACAGATTGGACCCCAATAGCGATAATTCACTGTTCACTGTTTTTCACTGGCAATTTTAAATGTATTTTGTGTATTTACAAAATACAAAATACTATTTATATTTAAGTAGAAAAAAATCTACATAGAATTTAGTATTTTATTTTGATACATTTCAACTGAGTTAAAAAAGAATCCATGCAAACTCGTGCATGATGACTAATACTTGCAAACATGATCATCCCACATTAATACAATGTAGACATAATACTGCACATAAATTTAAAGATAATCACTAAGGGTTTTTTTTATCATGTGATATGCCTCACTCTCTTGTGTACTTTTTATTCTTAAAGGGGCCATATTCTTTTGCAATTACATATCCTTTATATAGAATAAAGAAATGTGCACACAAACACACAGATACAATCTTTTATACATGCTGTAAAAAAAAAAATCTTTATCTTCCTCCTGCAGCTTAGCTTTGTGATAAGTTAGACATGTGGTATAGTAGATGAGGCAGTAAATGACATCATACGCTGTATTCAGCTCACTAAATCCCTTAGTTTTGATGTTTTCAAAGCATTCACTGTATGTTACGGTAAACTGTCTGTATGCACACACAAATGAATGAATGAACATGCATGTGGTCCTCTGTAAATTATTTTTTTATGATATTGTTATATACATGACCAAAAGAAAGGCAGACAGATGGTTTGAGACAGGTGGAATGTTTGATAAAGACGGTAGATTCTTTCATCATAGTCATTCAGGATGTCTCCCAGCATGTACCGATACAGATAGGACATGCAACACAATCAGCCATCTTGTCTGCTAGGGTTATCTGTCTGCAGTCGGGATGAGGCTAAAGCCCAGACTCCAACCAACTAGAAGCTTTTCAAGTTTATTTATGAATCAATCATTTGTTCCATTTATTATTATTATTTTTTTGTGATATGATATTTGTCCTCAGAATTATATATATATACACACACAAAAGTTTTAGATCGGTAAGATTTTTTATGTTTTTAAAAGAAGTCTCTTCTGCTCACCAAGGCTACAATGATTTGATAACCCCCCCCTCCCCCCCCCTCCAAAAAAAACCCCAGTAATATTGTGAAATATTATTACAATTTAAAACAGCGGTTTTCTATGTGAATATATAGTGTAGTGCAATTTATTCCTGTGATTAAAGCTGAATTTACAGCATCATTACTCCAGTCTTCAGTGTCACATGATCCTAAATTATTATAATATGATGCTCAAGAAACATTTATGATTATTATCCATGTTGAAAACATTTTTTTACATTTTTATTTCAGGATTCTTTGATAGAATCAGGATTCTTTGATAGAATAGAAAGTTCAAAAGAACAGAATTGATCTGAAATGGAAAGCTTTTGTAACATTAATCACTACCATTCAAAAGTTTGGGGTTAGTAAGAATTTATTTTTTATTTTTGGGGGAAAGAAATTAGAAGAAACTTTTATTCATCAAGGATGAGTTAAATTGATCGAAGGTTACAGTAAAGACATTTATAATGTTAGAAAAGATTATATTTTAAATCAATGCTGTTCTTTTGAACTTTCTATTCATCATAGAATTTTGGAGGAAAAAATTGTGCACGACTGCTTTCAACATTGAAAATAAAAATTTATGTTTTTTGAGCATAAAATCAGCATATTAGAATGATTTCTAAAGGATCAGGTGACACGGAAAACTGATGTGTAATCAGCAACAGTAATGATGTTGAAAATTCAGCTTTTAATTTACATTTTAAAATATATTAAAATAGAAAACAGTCATTTTAAATTGTCATAATATTTCACAATATTACTGTTTGTCTTTTTTTTTTTCATCAAATAAAGCAGCCTTGGTGAGCAGAAGAGACTTCATTTAAAAACATAAAAAATCTTACTGATCTAAAACTTTTGACCGGTAGTGTATATATATATATATATATATATATATATATACTATATATAAATACACACACATTTTGTAATATATATATATATATATAATTAGGAAAACAGATTGGAAAGTTTATACATAAAGAAAACTTTTAGCTTAATACTCTGAAAATTGCACCGATTTTATGTGTATTTCCATCCGGCATTAAGGGCTTTCCATAGAACCGACAAGCACTATGGAGGTGGACAGGAAAAACAGCGGTCAGCTGAGCCGTCTCTGATTGGCCATTGGGGGAGGTGACACTTTACGCCTATTCTAACTGCAAAGATAAAATCCCCACCTGCCATTACCCTAAAATCAGGAACCTCCAGCGGATACGCACACATGCTTACCCACACACCCCAAAAATAAAGAAGTAACAAACAGAAACTGTGTCCCTTTTCGACGGCCACTGTCAGAGTAAGTTACCCTTTGCGGTGTATCTCTGGTTGGCTTCTTTTTTGGGCCCTTGGCGATCTCTGAGGCCCCCTGCGTGATAAGGTGCATGAGTTAGATCATTGGTTTCATTTGTTAAGAGGAAATTTAGCAGAGTTGAGCAATGGTACAGGGACAATTTTGAAAGCCCTTGAGAAAGCATCAGAGTTGCAGATCGAGTGTCAGGCGGCGAGGAATCCATGCTGCATCCGTACAGAATGGAGGGGTACATCATCCCACCAGTGAGTATTTTATTCTCTAAATGGTCTTATTATGATACTGCTGCTTGCTTCTGATAAATGCGTAAAAATAGTTGCTAAGATATGTCATTGTGGACATAGTAGCTGACTGAACAGCTGGATTTTTTTTGTAATATTAGTGTTTGACATCCGTCAGTCTAAATATCTTGAGGATAATTTATTTTTGTTTGTGTGGGGTTTTTTTTTTCATGTAAAAAGTCAGTGTTAGTTTCGAGATGCATACGTGCTTGTGCCAACCACTTTAAAATGACGTTATATTGAGATACTCACATCTTTCTCTATTAGTGTAATGAATAAATGTCTGTAATTGAAGCTAACGTGTAGAGGTATGTTTATTGTAACAGGCTATGATTAACATCAATGTAATGAAAAAATAAACTGTTCTCTGAAATGTAAAATAATCATAATTTCTATGTAGAAAGAAGAGAGTAGAGAGAGAGTAAGCTGGACTGGCTGGATGTCACAGACACCATCTGTACAAAAAGATTACTGGGCAGTTTTAACCAAAGATGTGAGGCTTTTCTTATATGCTACAGCGTATTATTATTTCTTTATTGGCTCCAGTCATTCAAACTGGTCACTCTTTGTTTCTTATCTATTTGCTCAGCCGCAAACAGAGGAAATGTTTGAATCAGAGATGTATCGAGCCCCAATGGAGTATCAGTACATAATTGATGACGGTCAGAATGGTGAGTTTGTATTCTTTGTTATCCAAAATTATAAGCTACACAATAAGAAGTTTTTTTTTAAAATTATTATTCATAAAATCTAAAAACAGTCCACAATTAGATAATGCAACTGAATTATCCAAAGTTAAGGTTAAAAAATACAATAATGTGCACTCGAATGAGGTTACTAGCTGTTGGCTCTCAGCCTCCACTCCTGCCAAAGCTGAGTAACACACGCAAACTAATTAGCATGTGTATGCATTTTAAAAATGGACTATGTTAAACAACCTTATTTGTTATATATTCTGTTTAAGTATAAATTGCTCTGAACAGTTTAATTTTGCATATTCAGTATAAATAAAATGTAGCCTATAGTGTTTGATGATTTTACATTAGGCCTATACAGTTTTTTTCACACCAAATATAACATAAATGTAAGGTTTAATATAATTACATTGAGCAATTCAAGTGAAATATGTGCATATATATATATATCAATCACAGGCCAAACGCTACTAAATTTAGCTGAATTTAAAAAGCCAGAAGTGGTACTAAATGAAAGAGCCGTTTGGGAGCTGAAAGAGCCGGCTCTTATGCTGAGCTGAGCCAAATGATTCGGTTCCCTAAAAAGAGCCGGAATTCCCATCAATGATTTTAAACAGGTAACTGATACCAGAATAAAAGTCATTCAGAAACAATTAATGAAACAATAGTCAAAAATCAAAACCACAAACTCATATTTCAGAATCGAATCACAATCTGCCTACAAATTATAATTGAAATCATAAAGTTTATAAACCAACAATTCATTTTAATTTAGAATGAACAAATGCATTTAATGTAATGTAAGGACATGTTCATATTCCCCTTTTCAGCCCAAGTTAAGCAAGTTAAGTGCTTTGACTACACTACAAGGGCTGTCTTCCTACGTATGATCTGTTTTATTATATATTACTGACTAAAGACCCTGCTAATAAAACACTTAAGTGTTTTAACACCTAGAGAGGCCCATGTGTAAACAGCACATTTTTATATTGAGCTAACGGATCAAAATCACACCCAGGGCAGCTGGGCCTGAACTGTAAGGGGGACGTTAGGAGAGCGAGCGAGTGGAACCGGGCCAGTGACCTAGCACAAAGCAGGAAACAGATGCCTCGTTCTGACAGGCAAGAAAACTACAGACGTAGAACGACAAATATCCCCAAGGGTTTCTGTCCAAAATGAGACAATATTGCAATTTAGCTATGTAGGCGTCTAAAATCGTTTGCTAAACTGTGACACCAGTTTCTGTCTTTCTGAGGTTGAGGACGGAGATTGCATTTTGTTACTGTGTAGGACTGTGGTACAATTGATCTTTGGCTAGACATTTCTATTATTTAGTCCGCTCTGTCGTCAGACAGCTAGTATGTGCTGATTTTCGAAGAAGTTAAATGACAGAAACTGAAAACAGTTTTGAGTTTCGTTATACACCAGTGGAGAAATGCAGAGTACATTTTCCCCCCTTTTTCCCCACATGACCATTTATGTAAAAGCTATTTCTGTTCAATGGAGGAAGGTGCACATATATGTGTTTCCAGAGAACGTAATACATGTAATGTATGAACACTAGTGTGATTGAAGTTCAGTGAAATTAGATTCCTTTGAATGATTGCTTCGTTTACCAAAACCGGATAAATTTGATCACCCATATTTAGAGATCTAACCGTTAAATACAACGGCATTAAAAAAAAAAGACAACAACAACATGCTTGCTTGAGGCTATTCAAAAACAGCAAAGGAAATGGTGGTGTGAACAGGAAACAGAGTGACACTCATAGTCCCAGTGCAGTGAGAAAGTAAATGTAATTTTTTGCATGCAATTGGAATTGACAGACAGAATAACCTGACATACTTGATTTATCAGTTGCTGGCTTACACAAAGCATGTGACGTATTGTCACATTTCCTTCGGTTGTTAAAAGATGCTTTCTACTGACCTTCTGTTTCAACTTCAATGTCCTTGTCTAGATCACGCATGGGATTATAATACACATCATGTCCATCCAGTGGATTTCGAGAACTTGCCAGAGAGCCACTTCACAGAGCTACAGAGCGTGCCGCCACTACACGCATCGAATGTGCATCGCTTCCCAGATGTTGAGTCTAGTCATTTTATTGACCCAGGCCTGACCGGGCATCACCTCACCCTGCCCCCTCCACAGGTGAGATCTAAACACATCATATTTAATATCCATTCACTCTCACGTCTCTAACTGTGCTTTCATGTGTGAGAGTTCTTCTTTGTACCCGACATGTTTTGATGCCCATGTCTTCACACAAGTTCTTCGTGAGCTTTGGCCTCATTATTGGTGACGAGAAGTAACCATTTTGGTGTAGGAGACATTTAGGAACAGAGAATTCTTTCGGAGAAATACTCCAGGGTTTAGTGACTTTTGAAACTTTCCTTAAGTTTCACCTGTGCTTTGCAATACAAGTGGGTGTTGATGCTGGTTAGGCGGTTGTAGAAAGCATCTGTGCCCAAGCTATTGCTCAACTAAGCCGTATCCTGACCAAAACTCAACAGTGTCACCGTAACTGCAGTCTGCATACTCATCAACTGCCATTACACAGAACATCCCCACTTACACAAACAAAACCGCTCTTTATTGTGACACAAACACACTAGTGCACAAATGTTAGAGCTTAAAAAAAATGTAAGCTGGAACACTTTGCATACATATATATATATAAAAAAAAACATATTAGTTTATTAACCTCTTTGGGGCAGTTTATTAGAAAATAGCTACATTCTAGAGACTTTCTACATCATCTTGGCTAAAAAAAAAAGTTTGCTTGGCCTTTTGGTGTAGATGATATTTGATAAAAAAGAGGATATACATCTTGCATATCCATCAATGACTCCTCTGTGGGTGGAAAATCAAAGATCACCTCTTGAAAGAGATCATTTAAAATCTCTTATGAATAATGCAGTGATTGATTTCCCTTCCTTTGGTTGGACCTCATCTCGATGGTAGACTCTAACCATAAAGCCTATCGCAAAAGAGAGCTTTTCCGAAGTCCTTGTAGGAGGAAGCAGAGATCCGTCCACCACGGACTGATATACTGCCTGTCATACTGGCTTAGTCTCATTGAAAGGCGCATGACGCTTAAAGAAAAAAGTTCTGCTTTTCAGCTCAGTTTATGATAACATTACATTTTTCTGATTATGTACCGTTTAAAAGTTTGCTGCAGTAAGATTTTTTTTCAATGTTTTTCTCTTATGCCCACCAAGGCTGCATTTATTTAAATTTATTTGCATATTTTATTTTATATTTCAAAACAATTTTTTATTATTATTCCTACGATGGCAAAGCTGATTTTCCAGCATCATTACTCCAGTCTTCAGCGTCACATGATCCTTCAGAAATAATTCTAATATGATGATTTGGGCTCATTAAAGGCTTTTATTATGATCAATGTTTAATTTTTTTACTTGTCTTATGTAGCCATACATATTGTAAATCTAGACTACATTCTACCAAGATAACCAGAGTTTACGCCATAATGAGTTATAAACAGTTATTGTCACTACTAAAACCATACTACATTTATACGAGATCTCCTTTAAACAGTGTAAATATCTTACTAATTTTAGTAACTGTTATTTTGGTGGACAGTGGATAGTAATTTAATCTGTGGAATAGTTATTTACACCTCAACCCTAAGTAATGACTTAAATTGAACTCTTTGAGGGAGAGAGAAAAATGCGGTTTCCTTGGCCGAGAAGACAAGTATCACTCTACTGTGCTGAAAAGAGGAGAAATGTAAGAAATATTCTTATTTTTATATAAGTATTTTCAGGGCCTAAATGCAAAACCACAATTCCAGCTGCAGTCTCTGGCAGTGTACAATGAAGGCAAGGTAAATAGTAAAAATGTTCCTTTTGAAAATACTGGAAATTTCTAAATATCGTTTAGTGACTGTCATGTGTTTTCGAGGACACTCTCCTCAAGTCATTAGACTCTGCAACTGTCATGTCACAAGAAACTGCAACCCCAGCACTGTGTGTGAAATCGCATGAGACTGCTAAGATCCTTGACACTTTGGGTTTTTTTGTAAGGGCTTCTTACACTGAAGCGGTTTAACTGAAAAACCTTTCAGATCGGTCATAACATTTCCTTTCTTTAATATATACATATTACATACTGTGCATTGTATGTATGAGTTCAATTGCATCATATTCTGCAGCTTGAAGTTTCACTGCACTTTTATATCAACATTAAACATAAAGTTCCTCTTTCTTAATGTTGAACAAGGCTGAAATCTCCAAATGACAAATTTCAGACCACCTGATTGCACAAACCTGGTTTCCACATACCGTATAGCTCATATTATTTATGCCATTAACTGCATGTGAATTTAGCACCATCCTTCATAAGAAAATATTGCTCTTTGAGAACCACTTGCTGTATAGAGTTCTTGAGTTAGCTCTGCACTTAAGAAGACACGTTCTTTACCAAGTTTTACACGCTCTTATTGGTTCCTGGGTTCTTTACAGCACTTAACAGTATGTTTTCTAAATAACTATGGTATTAATTAGTTGATTCTAACTGGAATCTTTCTTTTGTGTGAGTGTGATCTTTGATAAGTATGTCTTTTATGTCTTCACAGATGACATATTTGCCACGGCCATCAGTGTGTTACCCTCACAGTGTGCAGCCCTCTCCTCTCCAGCGCAGCTCAGATGACGATGACCCCGGCAGTCGCAGTCCTCCGTTAGAGGTGTCTGATGAGGAGTGTATGAGAGACCACATTACTTCAACAACAGGAGTGGAACATGGTGAGGACAAAGGCAAAGACAAATTTCACTTCACTGACATGAACACAACGATAATGTTATATGGCAAGGGTAAGTGATCCAAACTAGAGCCAGACCGATATATCGGCCGGCCGATATTAGGCATTTTCCATAATATCGGTATCGGCAGTTATAATGGCCGATAAATTAATATTTAAAAAACAGAATAAAAACGGACGAAACACGCTTCAATTATCTCTCCTTGGCCTGTGATATTGAAAATGTATGTTTTACAATTTGCAGTATGATGTTATCTTTTGTTAAATTATGGCTCATCATAGACTAGCTAAACACAAAGCAAGCTAATGCCACTATCATCAGTGGAAGACCACTAACGTTAACATTAATGAGCTTGGAAACCACAATGAACTTTTTCTGCCTAAATAAAGTAATGATTACTGTATTTATAGCTAGCATATCTCTAGTTACAGCCCCTGCATTGAAAAATGTAAGTTAGACTTGCGAGGAGTGAACATTTAGACATAGAGGAAAAAGTATCAAACGTATCTTGTGCAGAAAAGTTAGCTTTTCTTTTACACGTGTGTGAAATCCAACAATATTTAATAAAAAAAATATCGGCCGATATATCGGAATATCGGATTTTAAAACCCCAAAGTATTTGTATCGGTATCGGCCTTCAAAATCCTTTATCGGTCGGGCTCTAATCCAAACCCAAGCCAACTGTTATTGAAACAGTATTGTCAGTAACTGTTGACTAGTAATTTTCTAGATGTACATGTACATGAAATGGGGGTTTCGTAGCGATGCCATAAAAGTAGGCCTGGGTATTGACACAAATTTCACAATTCAATACGATTTTGATTCACAAGTTTGCGATTCGATCCAGATTTGATATCGATTATTTTGTATGTATATATATATTTTAGGTACAGTATGCGTCAAATTTTCTCAAAGAAAAAAAATCTCAACTAATGCTGTAAACTATACATGGGAGTCAGTTGGTGCTAAGGCTGTGCGATTTGAGGAAAATATCTAATTGCAACTTTTCTGACAGATATTGCAATTTGATTTGTTAATTTTGTCAGCTATATTTTTAGTCTTAGTCCTTTGTCAAATGTACCTTTTGGTTTTTAGTTTTAGTACCTTTTATCATATTCAGTCACCCTTGTCCAGTTTTTGTATGGTCAAGTTTTAGCCTGAGCATTTTAGTCTATTTTTTGCCAATGAAAACTTAGTCACATTTTAGTAATTTAGTCATTAGCACATAGCATTAGTCATCCTAAATGGATTATGGTTAAATGATCAGTGTTTTGCTCAAAATTATTATCATAACGATTATTGCCAATTATAAGATTATTTATTATTGAGAAATCTATTTTTTACATTTAATTGGAATTATTATTATTATAAATAATATTATATTATTATAAATATAATAATATATTATATAATAAATATATTATTATTATATATATTATTATTAGCCAAATATTGTCCTATCCTAATGAACCCAATATCAGTGGATGTTTATGATTATGTATAAATCTAAATTTAAAAAAAATTACCCATGTGACTGGTTTTGTGATCCAGGGTCACCGATCACAAATCAAGAGAATGTTAACCCATTGGCTAAGCTACCTCATCTTGTTTCCGGATTTATTATAGGCTGCATGGTAATTTATCATACAGGCCTACTGGTAAAACACGAAATGTGTACCAGATTGCAAAGATTAGCCTTAAACACTGGGTATAAAACACGTTCTTTCAAATGTTCAGCCTAGTTGGTAGGCAATACATTAGCTACTATGATAGGCTACAGGACTATAGGCCTACTACGTGTAAAATGCTAAAACTTATTTTCAAACACAGATTACACTCAGGGAAGTTTAAGTTATAATAGACCGACTAACTTTAAATTTACATTATTTCTACTTGCCGGATTGAAAAACATTAAAAATTGTTATGTAATATTATAAGGCCCTATGTTATAGGCTAGGCTATATTTAGCAAAATGTTCCTCTCTAGAATTATTTTTTTTAGCTGTTATGGTCACTAAATAGCCTATGTTTTTTTCCTGAGGTAAATGAACGTTACCTGACATTGTTTACAAGCGGTTTTAATGACCTCTGATGGATTTCAGTAAGTTGTACTTTATCTTTTAACATAGCCTACCTTCAGATGTTTATTTCGCGCTGTAGCTTCTGGTCATGTTGCAGGAAGAGAAAATGATCAGTTCAACACGCATGCTCCGCGTGTTGACATCGATCTGTCAGTCACAAACAGTATTTTTCCACCGTACTAAAATAGACAGAATTTGAAATCTGAGACTTTGTTTCAAATCAAAAGTAACAAAGCGTCGGCGCGCTACATAATGTACGCTAATTGATTCTTGGGATTTAAGAATCGATATGGGTTCGTAAAAATGAGAATTGATTAAATCGAGAAATCGATATTTTTTCCCCAGCCCTACATAAAATAATATTTTTTACAGAGAACCTTGCAGTAACAGGTATTAAAATAATCTTTTTTTTCTTTTTCTTAATGGTTCATGAAACCCCAAACCAAATTTTCTGAGATTTTTACAGAGGTTTGTGTGTTGAACACCATTAAAAACCGTGTTAGCATCTGTTACGGTTAAAATTGTTAAATTTGAGTTTTTTCCCCCACTTTTTTTTCGTCTCCCGGGTTTAAAATCTTCTTCGTGTCCACGTCACAGCGATGCACTGTGAGTGCGTTGATGACTCATTGGTGTTTCTTAATTATTAAAGAGACTGAGTTTTCATATCCTATGAGAAGACACTCTTAATTATTTATGACACCACGTGGATCTTTCCAGACATGTCAAACTGTGATATCACCTAGTAGGTGAGAGAGGCAATCATGGGATGCAAGTGTTGGTGCAAAAGTTCAAAAGTGGCTTGAAAGCTATGTTTCCCCACGATGCTGGCTTGGCTAGTTGATGGCTTGGTTTGACATCAACCACTGACACATCATGCAAACAGTCTATGATCTAAACTATAGTGTGTGCTGCAAACATTTTTGTTTTTGTGGAGAATGGTGGACTTCGCCTTGTTGACAACCAATCCAAGTAGCGTCTTGCGAGTAATGTGGTACCAAGACCCGAGGACTTTTCTATACCTTCAGAACTTCAGAGGTGTGTGTGTGTGTGTCTAAAATGAGAAGTCATCCACCTCTGCAGAGCCATCTTTATTATGAGGGTTCAGGGGGCGCGTAGACCTAGGGTATGCATTGCATTTTTTTAAAGCGGAAAATTAATAATTTTTAAAATGCATTTAGTGTCTGATATAAACCACTATATATTTTATAATGAAATTATAATTATACATTAATGTAGCTTACATTAATGTTTCAAATAGAATTATGATTACTCTAGGCTAATGTAGCAGGGAATTCAGTTACTTTTGAAAGGACAATAATAAAATGTCAGTGTATTTCATAAGACTTTAACTTAGCATTTCCTCACGTTTTACCACTGCTTTTTACTGACAGTCGATGGGACATTGACGATGACAGTGATGGCCATTACCACACCCACTCCGCTCCTTTCTTCTCACAGCTATCCACGCCCATTTAAGTTGCATTTTCAAAAAGATTATGAGCTAGACTTGAGCTGAAAGAGGGGGGTTTCATGACCCTTTAATGTAAATCAATTTTAATAATCTGAATTGACACTATTAAAAACCTTTTGTAGGCTACAATGGAAAGGTTATATGAATGTTCTACATAGAATCATTGATGCCAATAAAGAACCTTTATTCTTAAGAGTGTAGGTTGCTGATTTCCTTTGTTTTTCAAGGTAACAAGAAGAAAATTCGCTTGTATCAGTTCCTGTTTGACCTTCTGCGAAATGGTGACATGAAGGACAGCATCTGGTGGGTGGACCGAGAAAAGGGAACATTCCAGTTCTCATCCAAGCACAAAGAGGCTTTAGCAAACCGCTGGGGCATACAGAAGGGAAATCGCAAGAAGATGACCTACCAGAAGATGGCAAGAGCACTGAGAAACTATGGCAAGACAGGAGAAGTCAAGAAGATCAAGAAAAAGCTCACCTACCAGTTCAGTGGAGAAGTACTTGGGAAGAGTCACACAGAAAGGAAGATTTACATGTAAACATATGCGCAAAAATGCGTGAAAAAGACTTGGGGAAAACAAGAGAGAACCTTTTTCTTCTGTGAAAACAGAAAATGACTGGACCTGAACTTTTACCATAGTTATGAACCTATGGTTTAACTATTTTCACCTTTGCATTAATTTAGTAAACCTTAAGTCATTTTAATATTTCAATAGTTTTTGTGCTGCAGGACCAACATTTACACACATCTGTACAGTGTATATATATATGGGGAGAGCACACATTTAAAAGAGCAGATACAGTGAAAAATTAGTAAAGACAGTGGCTAACTTTACCACCACACATGATGGAAAAAAAAATCACAAAAATACAAAAAGCAGAAGTGAAAACCAATGACACAGGCACACGCAGCACGGAAAACTCTGTCACGTCTGGGTAACACACACACAGACACATACTCTGCTCATGTTTGTACTGTCTTTTTCTCAAGGTCACATTCAATCTGAAAAAAAAAAAAAAAAAAACTTCATAGAAACTAGATAAATAAACATTAATTGTCGATAAAAAGTGAGCAGCGTGTTTGCTAATCCATTTGTTCATGAAGCTGTATCATGTTTCAGGGTAATTTCTCAGCAGTGTAATGACTCATTGTAATTGTTTAAATATAACATTAAAAAATAAATCCTAAAGACTGTGGGAAAATTTGAGAGAACAGCGAACAGACACAATGCATAAAAATGGCTTCAGACTTTTTACAAAGAAATTCAATTCTAAGAACATATCCATCTACAGTACGCCGATCTGTCGTCACTTTGAGTGACAAGCCTAAGAGTTTTGAGACAAAATTCTTAGGCTTGGTTTCACATACAGGGATTAGATTAAGCCAGGACAAGGCTTTAGTTCAATTAGGACATTTAAGAAGCTTTTATAAATGTGTCTAACAAATAACAACATTACTGGTGTGCATCTGGAGACAAAGCAATGGAACTGACATATTTTAAGATGTCAGTGCAAGTTGCCAGAAAAAATAAGGCTATGACATGCATGTTAGTCTGGGACTAGCATTAAACTGTGTTTGTGAAACTGGGTATTAATGGCTTGGATTAAACTGAAGTTGGTACACTGTTTTTCCCAAATGAATTTTTAATGGTACTCTCACCAAAAAACATGAAATGTCAAGCCACATGCCTTTATCAGACATACTTTGTCTCAAATTGATTGTTTATATACCCCTTGTGCCGTTTTAGTTGTTTTTGAATGTTCATGCGTTTCAGCATGTGGATTAAGTTATTAAATGCTGATATAAGAATTATTAAATGATATAAGTATTAAGTGTTATACAGGTGAAACTCGAAAAATTGGAATATCATGCAAAATTTATAATTCTGATGATTATGGCTTACAGTTTATGAAAAGCTCAAATTCAAAATCAATTTGAATTAGAAATTAGAATATTACATGAACTCAATAAAAAAAGGATTTTAAATACAGAAATGTCGACCCTCTGAAAAGTATAATCATGTATATAGTTATATATACTAGTTCACCTTTTAATTTTAATTACTGAAATACATGAACTGTTCCATGATATTCTAATTTTTCAAGTTTCACCTGTATCTTCAAAAGATGAAAAACTACTCAGAACCACCAGTTAAATACAACACTAGCACCAAAACCTCAACTGAGAGCAAAACAACCTCTCAGCGCCCCCTCCAGTAAGACCACTGAACTGCTAAAAACAATATTATATTACATGAAACCCATCAAATTAAAGGTCATCGATTAAATTAAATTTCTTACACAATAATTAAAGAAACCTATAAACAGTGGTTACTTGAAAAAATGTATGCAAATATTCCTGGATTCACATATCCATTCTATGATTTTTTTTTTTACGCTTAAGCTGCATCTGAATCATGCAAGCACACTCTCCATTCGGAGTCCCTTTTTTCAGGATCCAAAGCAGCTTTTCTTTCTGAATAAAAATAAGTCCAATCAGGAGGTCTTTTGTAAGCTGGAGGGTTTCACAAGAGGAACATACCACTGTAGGTAAAGAGGGGTATCATTACAAAAACTTGCATAATATAAAACATCATCAAAGCTTAGAATTGTCTTTAAGTTACACAGTAAAAAAGGATCAAAATTCAGAAAATCAACAATGGTACGTATACCTCTTCTGTCATTCCTGCTGTCTTCCTTCCTTCTGTGTTGAACGGAGGCTTCAAAAACCCTTTGAAATGCAGCTTCACCAATTCATGGAACATTTTCAAAGAATCCTGAAATATGAAAAAGCAGCTCTCAAGCAAGGATAACTAGGATGGCCTGTAACGGCAGCAAGTGCATTCTGGGAGTTGTTGTCTTTCATCCACATATGCCAAAAATACATTTTCTGGCTTTTTTCAGTCTAGAAAGCTCCAAATTCAAAAATAATTTCACATTTCTTATACATAAATTACCCATTTTAAATACACATTCACCTTTCCAGAGTTGAAGTATCCCTTTAATGTAATGTTCCCAGCCAATCTATTTCACGTATCCATCATAGTTTCCCTATATAATCTCTGTGCACTATGCAAATTCTCATTCTAGCCCTCTTGCCTCCCCCAGCAGCACCTGCCTAGATCTGCTATGGCAGTCTCCCTTTCTCTAGCAACAGCAGCAGTGTAGCAGTGTAGTCCGCCAATACCAAATCTGTGTACATTCTATTTACATTAATACAAATATTTTACAAACTATCCCGAGAGTTGTCATGACTGAACAGCTGTATATCTCAAAAGCATCATCAGTAAGAGTGTGTTTTAAAAAATACGATGTTAAGATCAAATCATTCACTCTCACACTGTCATTTACAGGCAAATTTCACCAACCATTTTAATTGTACTGTTACATGGTTAAAATAAGAAATCTGAGCTGTTCCTCTTACCCATCCTTCATGTGAGCAGATATATGTGAACCATCTCAGCCCTGCAGCCACATGTGTGATCTCATCAGCATAAATCACCTCCAACACCTTCACTGAGCTTGTGTCTCCCTGAGAGGCGAAGCGACACAGAGTCTTGGGGTGCACATCTAAACCTCTGTGTAAAAACAATGAAAATAAGTACATATGTATGCGACACAGTACATATGCATGTGAAAATAACACGAGATCTGTTTTACCTTGCCTCATGGACCATGTGCACTATAGCTAGCCTTGCCAAAATGTCATGAGATGTATCGGTTGCTGACTGCCATAAACCTTTTTGAAAAGAAAAGCGATAGATATTGAATCTCTAACATCATCTATGCTAAGTGAAATAAGTAAAAAAAGACAAACACATGAAAACACTGACCATTGTGTACTGGTAAAGCACCAAAGAAGCTGCCAAGTTCCATAATCCTTTGCTCTAGTAACTGATAATGCTGCAGGAGAAGGTTATGTCAGATTAATGTGAATGATTAAGTTAGCATTTGGCCTAAATAAATTAAAGACGACAACATTCAAACCTTAGCTTCATCTCCTGCTACTTTGACAAAGTCATCAAAGAACTGGCGAGGTAATGGCTCTCCAGTGCTCAGTCTAAATGTGGAGAATCTTGCTATCACATCCCAGGACAGGTCTATTGCCCACTGCTCTATGTTAGCAAGTGAGTGCAATAAGGCAATCCTACTCGCCTGATGGAACACAAACAATTATTCTTTAATCAACTATCTGTTGAATAAATAATAGAGTCTAAAAAGAATAAAGTTTACCAGTGTGCCGCCTTTGCCTCGTTTAATTTTTCCAGGCTCTACAACAGTTAGATTGTCTTTTCTGTAGGGATGTGCAGGAGGGCTGGCCTCTCCAGTTTCTGTTATTTTCCCACTGTTCCAGTTCTCTTGCACCATCTTGGTCAATGAAACCTACATTTCACAGAAAAACAAACAAGCAGAAGTCATATGATGATCTCAATCAAATACAGCACTGTGGTGATGAGGGATACAGCTTAGTCAATCACTATTTGTTAAAGCACATTCCCAAACCTTTTCCTGTGGGTCTGGGGTGTGAAGGATTTTGGTGGCCCACGCACAAAGAGTGTTTTCTGAGGAGTTTAATTCGATGGGCAAACTATCTGCAAGGAATACAGCATGTTTCGTGTACTACAACATATCATATTCACAATGAATATATACAAGTTCTGCCATTTCTCACCTTTGCAGGTTATCTTTGCCTCTGGGATGGGACAGAGGGACAGTGTGCTCTGAGTATTTATGTACACTTTTCCATCCAGTACTCGGACATCATACACCTGGTTCTGGTTACAATAATATGAGACATATCAAGAACACTTGCAGGTTTATCACTATACACATTACATGGATATATTTTATCCACAAATGAAAATTCTGTCACCATTTACTCACCCTGATGTTGTTCCAAACCTGTATGCCTTTCTTTCTTCTGCAGAACACAAAAATATATTTTGAAAAATGTTGTGATTTGTGACAATTGACTTCCATTATATGAACAAAGACAAAAACAACAACAACAACCATTTCAAAAATATCTTGTTTTATGTCTCACGGAAGAAAGTCACACAGGTTTGGAATGACATCAGGGTATGACTGTCAAGAGTAAATCATGACAAAATGTTCATTTTATGAAACATCTCTTTAACGTGGCCCATCATAACAACTTGCCTGTAGTCCAGAGGAAGAGGAACCGGTTTCAAGGCTGAAATCAAAATAATGCCATGGGCAAATCAATGCCAGTTTCCCATTGCCCAGATCCTCAATATCACCTTGCTCAAGTGGGCCCCCTGTTGAGCAAGAGATCATGATATACAGCAGAACAATTCTCTCATTTTACTGTATTACAGATCTCTGTGATTTTCACAGGGATTCATAATTAATTTGTACATTTTTATGGACCTTTGTGGGCACCAATTGTTCAACTAGAAAGTGGAAGTTACATAAAACAGCCATCTAGAACAATTCTCTAAAAACTTTCTGTGTTGACATAAACAAGGCATTTGAAGGAAGCCACAAGGCCAAGAGGTGAGAACAGAACCAGTCAACAATATCAAGTTTTGAGTAACGTTGTTTTGTATGAGAGGGCCCAAAAGAAACTGATATTCAAGAAGAACCATATACTTGTATGGAATTTGTCAAAAATAGTTGCAATTGAGACCAACAGAATCTAAACAAAATCAGTCTGTCTAAACAAATGAAGTTATTTAGAGTTATAACTAACCTTCATGTGGGCAAGATGAATCCATAGCCCAGAATTGATCATGCTCTGTATGAACCAGGACTATATGCTCTCCATCATCTGAGTAAAACCTTAAAAATATTTTTATAACATTTTCAATAAATAGAAAAAGTGTATATAAGAAATATTATACTCAGGGAGAACATAAATGTATCCACATATTTTTCTTTTTTAATACATCTCTTTTGGACACCACTGCCTTTTTCTAATTGAAGACACCTTTTCCCCTTGTGTGAGTTATTTTTACTGAAACAGTTATTCAAATTTAAAATACCTTTTCCCCATGTGAATTATTTTTATAATAACAGTAATTCAAAAAATACTCATGTCACATACATAGATTCACTTTTTAAAAAACGACCTTCCGAAACTTATCTATACAGAATGCCCTCTTGAGACAGTTCACGAGCATCATATATTTGTGTGAGCAGCACATTATAAGTTACTATGACATGCGCTTACTTCGTGCATGGTGACTTAAATTTAGATTTGTCTCCCACACACTGCCAGTTTCCAGCCTTGACAATGTCTTTAAGCGCATCAACTAAATCCTGCTCGAAGTGATCCATTCAGAAACCCTTTATGTCTCTTCCACTACAGACGATCAGGAGCAATGTAGCTACTAAAAATCTAAAAACAGCTTTTACTCATGCTTTTACTGTCTATGAAAAGTGAAAAACGCTAGCAACAATTTTTGTTAAACTTCCGGGTGCGACTTATTTCAAAATAAAAGTTTACAAGTTATAGGTTTACTTATTTTTCTCTTTAAATTTGTTTATGTTTGAAGCAAGTGTACGAAAAACCTTGATTATAAAATATAAAATACTGGCGCAAAGGCATATCTAATAACTCGGGAAATACTATATGATAGAAGCTGCGTGGATGTCTGTTTGGCCACCCAGTGGCCGCTAAACAAATAACCGCGCATGCGCAGGAGGTGAGATACGCTTTTTTTTACGGCTCACTCCATGTGAAAATGATTTTGTGTTGTGTGGAGCAATAACAGGCTTCTACATTTTTATCACGAATACAGAACCATGCCGATCTCCTGTTCAGCTATTGATTGCTCAAACCGGTTTGTTAAAGGGTCAGAGATCCGGTTCTATAGGTAAGCGTGACCATAATGGCAGTTTCGTTGATACACTTGAGCTTTGTCAGTGTTTAGGCTAACGTTAACTTACATAACTTAGCTTGGAGTTGCTATATATGATATAGTTCAATAAGATTCTGTAACGGCGGATAGGCTTCCTAGTTAACATCTTGTCGTAAATGCAAAATACTTTAAATGCTTTTTACTTTAAAACTTTTTGTTGTGTGAACAATAGGCCACGCAGTATTCCCCCCTCTTGATTATTATGGTGTTTTCTGCATCTTTTTTTTTTTTTGTTTAGTTTATTTTTGTCAGTTAGTAATGGCCGCAGATATGGACCCCACAGCATAATTAACTGCTATAATTGAATGCTTGTGTTCTGTTGCCACAACAGAATTTAACTTGTAAAAACTGATATAATTGGTCAGAGTTTACTATGTGAGTCGGCCTCATTTAAATCTGTGGCTGACTTCAGAATACAACAGACGTGTGGATAAATCTCTCTTGAAAGTAATAACTAATGGAGCCTTTCTCTTTGCTGTCATCTGTTCAGGTTTCCAATCAGCAAGCCTCAGTTGGCCGAGCAATGGGTTCGAAGCCTCGGGAGAAAGAACTTTGTTCCCACTCAAAACTCCTGTTTGTGCTCGGAGCATTTTCAGCCTGACTGCTTCCGTGACTATAATGGAAAACTGTTTCTTAGAGAGGATGCTGTGCCGACTATTTTCAACTCTGGTGGAGATGGTACAAAGGTGTGTATCCTAACACTCAGTAAAGTTATTCTTGTTGTCCAACTCAAATATATCTTTCTGCCTGCTTTTCATTCTTAAAATGCAATCCCTCTCACTGTTTTATTTATTGTTTACAGATTGAGTTACGGAAAAACAGGGGAGGATTAGTGGCAAAGGATGTAAATGATTCCAGTCGATTCGGTTCACTTTCTGATAAAGACCGAACGAAACAAATCACAAAGGACAGAAGACAACCCATAAGAGACTCCAGCCTGAAGGTAAGGCATACATGCTGAATATGTAATTGCTAACACTTACTTCAGTCTGTTTTTAGCTTCTCTGCAGGCCATTAATATGTCTCAAAGCTACAGTTAAGCTGCGTTAAAATTGACTTCATCAATTTTTTTTGTTTGTTTTATTACAGGGCAGAGGTATAAATGACCGGAGACGTGCAGGGATAAAGCTCTCATCAAGTGACAGGTATCTGCCTTTCTTTTAAGGCTGCCCCCTAATAGTCGAATAAACGCTAGTCGCCAAGAAAAGGATTAGATAACCAAGTTTTAAAATTAGTCGCTGGAAAAAGTTCTCTCTAAGGTTAACCTAGATAAATGTGTGTTATTATTAGGCGCATATCCAAATGTTCGTGCAGAGTGTGAAAGAGGCAAGGCAAGGCAAGGCACTTTTATTTATAAAGCACGTTTAAAACAGCCACTGCTGACCAAAGTGCTGTAGAGTCAGTTCAAAAAATATGAAATACATAAATACTCCAACCAACATAAACATAACATAAGCACATCATAATGCGCATCATAAAATTACATTTGACCAAACGCCAAAGAGAAAAAATAAGTCTGTAGTGATGATTTAAAACGATCAACAGTGGGAGACAGCCTTACATGATCCTTACATGAAGATAATTTAGTACCACTCTTACTGAAAATGAAATGGTTTACTTAACATTCATTTTTCTCTATAGACCCATCCACTATACCGCGGAGATGACAAGTCAGGGTCGTCAACTTCATCTTAGCAGCTGACATTGACTCAAACACTAGTTTATTAATAAATTATTAAAATGTTCACACTCTTTTCAGAGACCATCAGTTTTTTTCTGACACATTCCCAATCATTACTTTTGCCAGTGCACCGCTGCAAGCTTCATGAGTGCACTTGAGTGCTTAATTCATATTAAAGGCTCATATGTTTAGTGTTTCTCTGTAATGTAAAACAAGGTTAACAATGTTACACATAATAATCGACTTATGGCGTGACAGCTAGTTGACAAGAAGAATCTTTAGTCGGGGCAGCACTACTTTCAAAATTTTCTAAATCATGAACACTCCTGACGAAGGTCGTGTGACCGAAACGTTGTGTGTGAATAAACTTGATTGAAAAGTGCAAGTAATGATAGTGTGCGGGAGTTCCTTATCTGCTTAAATCATGAACACCAAATTAAATGAAAATAAATGTATAAATCACGTTTTGAGTTAAATGAATTGCCTTTTTGTATTCAAAGTGTTTTATAAGGGGCTTTAGGCCTGGTTGCACACACAGGGCTTAGATTAAGCCTTAGTTCAATTAGCTTTTATAAATGTGCCTTTGAAAAAAAAAAAAAAAAACGTATGTGCATCTTGAGCTGACAAAGGCTTTTTCAAATGGTACTAAGTATGTACCTTTTAGGGGTTATTAATGTATAAAGGTGTAATGTTTTTTAATATCCCCAGTGACGGCTTTTGTACCTTTTTTTTCTGTGGGACGAATTATCCCATTAATATGCTGTCTTGTCCCTACAGACAGTCCCTGTCTCTCAAGAGTAAAGTGTATGACAACAAAGGCTTGCTGATCTCATGTGGGAGGGATCTGTGTGACTGTCTGGATGTAGACTGCATGGGTTGTTTCTACCCATGTCCTGAATGCAGCTCTCGGAAGTGCGGTGTGGAGTGCCGCTGTGACCGGAAATGGTTGTACGAGCAGGTGGAGGTAGAAGGGGGAGAGATTATTCGCAACAAGTTTGCCAATTAGACAACCTGTTGTAAGATTGAAAAGACGACATCACTTCTGCCTGAGTGTAAAGGGACTGACACTGGCTTTGTATATGGACATTGCAGAAGTACTTGGTTAATTCAGTGCATTATTTGTTTTTAAATGTAATGTTTAATATAGAATGTTATGTTGTATTTTTGCTTTTTTCCATACCATCACAAATGTAAATTTCTTTAATATTTTCAGTTCTTTGGTTATGCTGTAATGCTGTTTCTGTTTTTTTCCCCTTGAAATTTTCTTTTACATTTGCAAAAATAAAAGCTGAGTGCTTTAGTACAAATGATTGTTTTAGTGTTATATTTTACAATGATGATCTTTTAGCCTAATTTCAAATGATATGAATATATGGATAGATGTATATATATATATATATATATATATATATATATATTAATATACATCTTTAGATCTATGATGACATCTGAAAACTGTTGGTTATTATCTCAGGGCAGTTGAGTATTTGTTTGGTGATATCATCTATTAGATATTGTCTAAGATGTTTTTCTAATTGGCCCATATGTCTCATCGTGCACATTCAGGGCACTCCACCTCACGTTGCAGTGCTAGGAGCCAGGAATGTCAAGATGAAGAACAATATGTTATAGGCCCAGCCAGCTTCCCCTGTAGCTGTACAACAATAAAACAAACAAACAAACAGCAAAAAAAGTTGACTGGAAGCAGGGATAATGTATTGCAAAAGAATTCGAATGAGGCAGATTTGATGATTTTCAAAACATTCACATCTAGACAGGCAGTTTGTCTCAGTAAAACTAAGCCTGCAAGAAGCTTTTTTTTTCAGTGAAAATAACTGGCAATGCAATTTTAAAGGTGAAGCTGCTCAGCATTATTACAGCTTTTTTAAAATTATTACAACTCTTACAATGTAAGGCTATAGTAAACCTTTCTTGTCTGCATTTAAGGCATGTTTTCTGCCAGTTTTAAATCAATAAAAATCCTTATTAACTATTTCATTATATATATATATATACACTCATCTCACTCAAAGGATTATTAGGAACACCATACTAATACTGTGTTCGATCCCCTTTCGCCTTTAGAACTGCCTCAATTCTGTGTGCCATTGATTGACTCATTGTCATGTTCAAGAAACCAATTTGAAATCATTCGAGATTTGTGACATGGTGCACTATGCAGCTGGAAGTAGGGTTGTAACGGTGTGAGATTTTCACGGTATGATAATAGTCTCAGAAAATATCACGGTTTCACGGTATAAGGTATTAAAGAAATATTATTTATTATTATTATTATATTATTATTATCATAAGCTACGATGACCCTAAAATGAATGAAAACAGACAGGATTTTTTGGTTGAACAGATGGTTTATTAAAACACACTTTTTAATGAAAAAAGTCTACCTTTTGAAAAAATAAGAAAGAAAAATTAAATCTCCCATTTGAACAAACATGTTTAATCAATTGAATTCATAAAACTTATTTTTATGATAGAGATAATAGAGTCTTATGAAATTAATTTTATTTCCTTAAAAAATTCTGGGCTGTCTGATACAATTTGTCTGGATTCTATGATTTAATACAAATATATTTTTGAAAATGCAATCAGATGAAATGTAACAGCTTTTGGCTGTGTCTGCAGATCTGCACAACAGAGGTTTAAAAAAAACCCTATTTTTTCTTAAATAATGGTTGAATAAACTAAAGTATTCCCACACTGCAGATTTTAGTTTTTTTTTCGGCGGGGGATAGAGATTAGAATTCGCAACCTCTGTCTCAGACATTTTCTCCGCTACATGTATAGATGGAGCCTAAGCAGTTAAGTGGAAAGAAGTTGCAGGTGAGATCTGGTTTAATTTTTTTTCCAAAACCTTGGATAAGCAAATGTTCACGATATGATAATCGTACATGTCAATATCGCGATAAACCACCATACCGGTATACCGTTACAACCCGCCTGGAAGTATCACAGGATGGGTACATGGTGGCCATAAAGGGATGGACATGGTCAGAAACAATGTTCAGATAGGCCGTGGCATTTAAACAATGCCCAATTGGCACTAAGGGGCCTAAAGTGTGCCAAGAAAACATCCCCCACACCATTACACCACCACCACCAGCCTGCACAGTGGTAACAAGGCATCATGGATCCATGTTCTTGCAAATTGTAGCCTCTTTTTCCTATTTGTAGTGTGTACTTCTGCCTCAAGGTTGTGCATGTTGCGGCTTCACAAATGCTATGCTGTAAGCCTACCTTGGTTGTAATGAGTGGTTATTTCAGTCAAAGTTGTTCTTCTATCAGCTTGAATCAGTCAGCCCATTCTCCTCTGACCTCTACGATCAACAAGGTATTTTCACCCACAGGACTGCCGCATTCTGAATGTTTTTCCCTTTTCACACCATTCTTCCCAGAAAAAATCCCAGTAACTGAGCAGATTGTGAAATTCTCAGACAGGCCCATCTGGCATCAACAACCATGCCACGATCAAAATGGCTTAAATCACCTTTCTTTCCCATTCTGACTCAGTTTTGAGTTCAGGAGATTGTCTTGACCAGGACCACACCCCTAAATGCATTGAAGCCACTGCCATGCGATTGGTTCATTAGATAATTACATTAATGAGAAATTGAACAGGTGTTCCTAATAATCCTTTAGGTGAGTATATATATATATATAAGCTGTGTCTGAAATCGCTCCCTATCCACTAAATAGTGCACTATATCGGGTGTCGGCCATTTTGTAGTGGTGTCCGAATTCTGAGTGAACGACATCATTCCCTACATTCATTCACTACTTTTACCCACAATCCTCTCTGAATTCGAGTGTACATTCGATGTACACTCGCTGAAGCCCTATTTCCCACAATCCAATGCGGAGAGAACTGAGCGCGCATGAAAGTTCGGCGCGAGCAAGTTTAAACCAGAGATTACATTACATCCAGTGGAGGATTTGAAAAATATCCGTTAATCGTCGTTTTGAACATAATAACGGTCGCCGGAGGGCGCTCGACGACACGTCATCTGTGAACGTGAGAGTTAATGTACAATTTCAGTCGATGAAACTACAAAGCTGGCACGGAGGTATAATTACAAAATAAAGTCATTATGATTGTTATTGTTGTTAATATTATTTTATAAACTAGGTAATGTAAGATAAAAGGAGTTTTATCAGTACGCGTGACGAAGCCTTTTCTGCGACAGCTCCAACTCTCCGACGCACAGTGTAAACGTCAGCGTCCGAATTCACTCACTTCATCTCCTTCACTCCTTGCAGATATAGTGCACTCAAATGCCATACACTATATAGGGATTAGTGAATGAGTGAACGAGTGAGCGGTTTCAGACACAGCTAAAGTATATGTACTGTATATCACAATATATAATGTGAGTTTTTTTTACCTTGTGAAGTTGTTACTCCTAAGCAACTGTAAGTTATGCATGTTTTCATTTGTAGATGACATCTTCAAGTGCGTCTGTTATAATGTACTGGCTCTTGTTTCTATCACCTGATCCTTTTATTATGACACAAAAGTACTAAAGGTGCTCTGTGATGTGCCATAACTAATTTCTCTTTTTATATGTATAAGAGATTGCCCCTTTTCTGAAAACTCTTTGATATTCATATTGATTCATTACTATTAAATCGAGTATGAGTTTGCTCAGTGTATTAGAGAGCATCCTCACAGAGAGAATTTTTTTACAGTTGGTCTCAGAAGAACAATTATAAGCTCTGGTAAAAACGCAGCAATTTTACAAGCAAAATGAACGTGCCTGTGTGTATAAGCACTTGGGAACAGATGGTTTATCACAGGAAATGAGTTCTGTTTATGCTGTGTGTAAGCTGTTTTAATAGTGCAGTTTGTGCCTGACTAAGATTATTGATACCAGAGCCTACAGAGGATTCCAGAAAAACAACAGGATGATTCAACATCTCACAGATGACCTGTTGGAAGTTATGTGCATGTATGGGTTATTGCATTATTGATACTTACAAGCGATGCAGAAATGTTTAATTTTTGTTTTATCCATTATGCAATGTACATTTGATTATGAAAAACGGAATATTCAAAATTGGACAACAGGCTTTCAAATGGTTTGGTTTCCTTGTCTAATGTGCAGTGCAGCTGGACGTCTGCTGGCTGAGAACTCCACAGTCTGTGATGTCAGAGTTACATTTGCTGCAGTCACAGCTGAGGGCCACAGGGTACGTGAAAACCGAGTCAGCCCCGGCAGGGCAGCCTTTAAACTCGTAGGTCTCGTAGGTCCATTCTCTGAAGTTACAGATGTTCTGGTAGTACTGTATCATGGGGCTACGGTAAACTCTTTCCTGTCAAAATGGAAAATATTTTAGTTCCCTTTTATCTGGTGCTAGAGTATTAGAACTGAAACAAACAACCACAAAATGTCTGCACTTAAACTACGCTGTTTCATACATATATAATTTATACACACACACACACACACACACACACACATATATATATTCAGCAAGGACACATTCGATTGATCATAAGTGACAGTAAAGGCATTTACAAAAGATTTCTATTTCAAATAAATGCTGTTTTGTGAACTTTCTATTAAATTATTGAAATTAGGGGAAAAAAGTAGCACGTTTCCACAAAAACATTATGCAGCATTGCATTGATCATAAGAACCATTATTACTAAATAATAATTGAGCACCAAATCAGTATATTCGAATAATTTCTTCAGGATCATGTGAATTTGAAGACTGGAGTAATGATGCTGAAAATTCAACTTTGCCATCACAGGAATAAACTTGAGGCTGAAAAAATATTAAAACTATCCAGATATTTGTCTAACGTGCACACATACATCTCAAATTAAAGCTTACAAGAATATTACTTCATCTTACCTGTGTTTTGCAAAGCCCGGCACATGCAGTTGTGTCGATTGTGATGCAGCTGCCACATTCCTCACTTTCCACGTTAATGGAGATATTGGAAAGCCGACAGCTGGACCTGCATTCTGATCCTGCCCTCATTAACGCTGGCAACAGCATCACCATAACAACGAAGCGCATCCTCATCTGGGAATCAATGCGAAAGTGTGCGGCTGATCAAATACAGGTACTACAGGAGATAGAGTATTAGCACTGATGTTTAGGCCTACTGCTTAGTAAATGATTTTTTTTTTTTATTCAAAAGAAAATCACAATTGAAAGAGTATAAGCTAACCCAGATCACAGATCTCTCTAGGGGTAAAATAGGGAACGACAAACAAACAGTGTTTTGAGACTTTGAGGATCTTCAGCTCTCCAGTCCTAAATTCACTAAATAATCAAACAAACTTCACTTTGAAATGGCATGCCTGCCTTTTATTTTATTTTTTGTACTCTAGCCGAAGCTAGAAAATAGATTAATAATATAAAGTAAAGGAACACATTACAAATAAATCCAAAAAAACCCAAAAGTATTACTTTGGGAGGAGGGTCCAATTCAAAAGAAAACAAAATAACCTCTACCTAAAAGGGGAATAACATTATCTTATACAAAACAGAAAACGAAACAAAACAACAGATAACTTCCCACTCCCTAAAAATGAAGTTTTATGTAACAAAGTTCGGAAGGAGCACGTTCAGGTAATCAACCAATCAGCTCAAGAGGAAGCCAGTGTAAATGAAGATTTTTTTTTTTTACCTGATTTTGCCAAGTATGACATGGTCCTGGATCAACATCCCTGTCCCAAAATGTAGTCCTTACCCAATCCCTACCCCTAAACCTAACCCTACCAATAACTTTTCCTTAAAATCAGAGGGTAATCAAAGGTGAATGACACTGATGTGTAAGTACTTCACAATGGTTCTAAGCCTAAACTTGACATAAACTGTAAACTTGTCCCTCAAATCTGATTGGTTGATTGGAAAGTTGATCCAGGATCAACAACGATGTTGATCCAGGAACATGTGGTACTTGGTGAAATCACATTTACCCAGGTGGTAGCCTATTAAAGACACAATAAAAAAGAAAGAGAGAGAGAAGACAAAATACATGCACAAAACACTCCCGGTATGTTACTGACACACAATGAACACGTCCTCGAACGTAACAACAGGAAAACACAAACAAAAACTTAAACGAAATGTTGATACATGACTAACAAGAATGAATAAATTTGTCTATATAGATTTGGTTTGGGCAAAGCAACTACCAAACACATTCAAACAGAGGTCAAACTACATTCATAAAATTCATGTCTATCTTACCTGCTGGAGTTTCGCTGAGACAAAATCAATTCCCTCCATTCACATGGACCCTTATACCCTCCTGTCAGACATGACGCCCACATTAGTTGAGAGAGCAGCCATGTCTTATCAAACTATTGCATTTGCTTTTGTGGAGGTGGCACAAATCCCTAAAAGCCCAGTGGCCATGACATTCAGTCTGTGAGAGGCTTAGATAGAACCGGATCCATGTAACGGCCACCACTGATGTTCTGCTTTTCAAGGTCAGTGTTCTACAGCACAATTGATGGATTGAAAACTACTGGAACAACAGCTTATCTTCTCTGAATGATCCACACATGACTGCTTCAACAGAGCGTTTAGCCAACATCTGTTGGAGGAGATTTGACACACAAAAAAAATCTGCCAAACAGGATGCATTTAAATGATCTAACGTGACAGTAAAAGCATTTCAAATTTTAGGGTGACACTTTGTAATAAGTATATATATATAGTTCTTACAAATCATTAAAAACTATTCGTTTATAGTCTATTCACATAGTTTATATAGGCTAGTGTAACCTCGACATTGTTAATATATTAATAGGCTACAAATAGTCAGTTCTTCATTCATTGTCACTGTAAATTAACTCAGTTATTAATGTTTTATTAGCTTAAAGGAATTGTTAATTGGTTAGTAGGAGTAAATAGTTCTCAATTTGGATTAGATCACAGACAATTGTATTATTCAAGTGCTTTAGACCAAACTTTGGACATAAATGGCATTTATATTCAGTTTTCCTTAAAATGTTTACAAATACATATACAATTTGTATTATTATTGTATTTGTATTCACAAATACAAATATGTGGTTTAAGGGACTCTCGTAGTGGTTTTTATTCATGTTAACAAAGCATAAAAAACATGATCTCTTTACATATAAGCTATTAAATAATAATAATTTGGTTAATCACAGTGAATGAAGAACTCACTTGTATTAAGTCTATAATATAATAACAATATACACTCACCTAAAGGATTATTAGGATCACCTATTCAATTTCTCATTAATGCAATTATCTAATCTAATCAACCAATCACATGGCAGTTGCTTCAATGCATTTAGGGGTGTGGTCCTCAAGATGGGAAAAAAAAGTTGATTTAAGCAATTTTGAGCGTGGCATGGTAGTTGGTGCCAGACGGGCCGGTCTAAGTATTTCACAATCTGCTCAGTTACTGGGATTTTCACGCACAACCATTTCTAGGGTTTACAAAGAATGGTGTGAAAAGGGAAAAAACATCCAGAATGCAGCAGTCCTGTGGGCGAAAATGCCTCGTTGATGCTAGAGGTCAGAGGAGAATGGGCCGACTGCTCAAGCTGATAGAAGAGCAACTTTGACTGAAATAACCACTCGTTGCAACCGAGGTATGCAGCAAAGCATTTGTGAGGCGGATGCTTTATCAACTGTATAAACTAACTTCATGTTGATGATCAGCATCATGGTACCAACAAAGATTGCTTGGATGGGTTTGGTTTTGTCAACTCGAAACTAATCCTGCAACCCTGAGTTTGTTCAACTACCATCATGGGGCAGGCCCCTGTTCCTTGTTCTGTTGATTATCCTCCCTTGTGGTTTCAAACCTTCGGTTCTCCCAGTTCTTTGTTTGGTATATTATATGGTTGTGTGATGATGTTATTATCCCTGTTATCTCCTGTTGGATTTATTAAAGACTATTGCTAAAGATTATTGCAATCACGCCTGACAAATACTTTATGTGTAAATATATATATTGGTTAGGCCTGCAGCTATATGAAATGACTTCAAGAATGGTTCTATTGCAGAGACATTTTTGAGAAAACATCTAGCATTCATTTCAGATATAGCTGCAGGCCTAACCTTTATTACCTTGACCAATATCTTTTTAAAAGTTTAAACAGTGTTCTGAATTTTCATTTTGATTCTGTTCATCTTCTTTTACAGATCTGTCCGTCTCTTTGTCTTTTAAGCTCCAGCTCAACCTTGACAAAACTAAGCTTTTTTTTCTTTCAGCCATGTTCTCTCAGTCTCTTTCCATCACTTTTGAAGGTTGTACAATCATTGACTCCTGATCTGTACAAATCTTGGAAATTGTCCAAAATGACCCAATGACCTTCATTCATCATGCAGCGACAAGTGCCCCATCCAAATAAGACAATCTGCCTTTTCACTCCCACCAGTACATCCAAAAATGCTGCTGCCTGACTCAGTAATTCTCACATTTACTCAAGTTCAATGTATTACTGGAGGCACAGTCTCCATTTCTGGCAATGCATTCAGCACCATTACTCTAATAAGTATAAGCCATTATCCAATTGCACACCCACAACCTACATTCAGAATCTTTTCTCTCTACACATAAAAAGCAGCCATTCTGTGTTTGCCCATCAGTAGTACAACGACAAAATTCTATCTTGTGAAATACTGCCCCCCTTTATTCTGTATAGTGCTATACAGAATTGACAAGCATAGACAAAAACATAAGCAAAGGCCAGAAGCTGCTGCATTTCATTAGTGAGGTAGGGTATTTGAACAATAAAACAGCAAGATGTCAATGCACAGTAAAGTTTGGTCAATGGAAACTGTTTTACCAAGAGCAAACACAATGTCTCCTGCATTATAAATGAGCTGATCAAACCGCCCGATCATTCTGATAGCACACATTTCCCACTCTACGACAGACCTGGTTTTTGTTGAGCATTTCCGTGATTTGCAAGGTAAAATATTTGCTTTCCAGGTAATGCATAAATCATCCGTGGCTTAAACACAGTGCTGCTGATGATACTGGTTTTCCAAAGCTCTCTTTTATAAAATAGTGTGCCGGGAGAAACAGGCAGGTGGCCTAGTGGGAGTAATCATTTGCATTTTGCTTTCATACAAAGATCAGTTTGAATTTTGTCTAAATAATCTTGATTGTTATGTTGTCTTTTTTTACAGTGCCATCATTCTGCACGACTGAGAGCTTAACCAGGTGTTTTCAAACCTTTTAATGCCAAAATCCAAAATAAAATCATTGGTCATCATTATATTTCCATTGTATACTAAAGGCAATAACAAATTGATATAAATATTATCTGGGAAAAAAAACTACTTTCCAATACTTTGACAATAATGACATGTTATATGTACAAATCTTAAAGAATACATTTTCAATTCAATTCAAATGCAGATTTAGGTGCTATTTTAAAAGAAACCCAGTGATTAATCTCATGCATCTGCTGTTTATTAAGAGCAGTAATCATTTCAAAATCTGCTAAATGTGTTTAAAAAATATTAAGCTGAACATGTTTAATTGACACATTGAGTCAACATTTTAAAACAGCTCTAAAATGAAATGTTGTAAAACTCTTCCCCCCCCCCTCCAGTTTTCCCTGGATCCTGTTGCACCCGCTTTCGACCCTTCGAGGTCCCCGGAACTCAGTTTGTGCTAAGCTAAAAGAGGTGAATCTTTTATTTATGGTCTTTACATAAACTCCTGCTTGTTTAATGGACCATGGAAGAGTGGAACTGCAGAGCCCTCACGACACAATCACACAAGTCTTTTTTATGCTATGTTTACATTCTTATCTTTTTTCCAAACGATGACTATACACAAACAGCCCGTGACAGAAAGTGTATGTGGCAATATTTGACAGAGCCACACACAGGCTGCTTGGTGTGTGCAGCTCGCGCTCTGCAGCAGTCCCTCGGGTAGACTGTTGCGATGAACTTGATGTCAACAGATGCACAAGGTGCTGTCGAAGTTTGAGAACTGCAGCACACCGGTTCGCGCGCAGTGGCCTGCCACGGCCACTGGGGGGCGATCAAGCTCTGCGCGCTGCGTAAACGTGCCTCTCGCGGCGGAGCTCAGCTCCCCAATAACACGAGCACAATGGTCAACGGGCGAGACTGAGCGGCAGACAGATGCGCGCTGCGCATACTTACCTAAGGCTATTTCACATGGCATCCTAAAACTTTGATACATCTCGATTCTGACGCCGCTCGTGTGATTTATCGAGCCACGCAGCATGCTCTTGGTATAGCAGCACCTGCTTTTTGGTGAGTGTGAGTCCAGGCTTAAATGCAGGGGTGCATGTTTTTTTTGAGGAGGGGGAGATGGGCAGGTGATGAGAGATCCTGTTGAATAAAGACCCAACGGCGAGCCGTGGCCAAAGCTGTCATTCCTCGAATGCGATAACACCTGACTGTTAAGGTGTCATGTTCTGCTTTTGGCTACGTCGAGGATTATCTGGATTCCCTGAGCAAGAGGGAAATTTGGACAAACCTGGGATTTACATCCTCAGCCATCTCTAGCTTGTTATATGAAGGGTAAAGCTGTGAAGACGTCCTCAAATCATTTAACACGTAAGTGGCTCGAATAATGAAAGGTGGAGTGCATGAGAGAGCTGATAAATTTCGTGCGACGATTGTTATAATTAATTGTCAAGGGATTTTGGATCACTAATATCACGCGCTGTTTTCTGTTTCCTTGGCTGGCCTGTTACCATAAGGGTGTGCCATATTATTATTATTATTTATGTAGCACAAAAAATATTGACTAATGCCTTTGTTACTGAATACTATTTAAAATTGTTTTGCTAATAAGCATATCAATCACAGTCTGCCTCGGCTACATTATGTGCAGTTTGCCTTTTACAACACGTTTTTCTCTTCTTTACAGCTGTTGCTGGTGTCAAGCGGATTTGTGATTCATTCATATCCACTGAAGGGGCAGAGGACGGCACAAACCTACACCCCACCCCTCCCTCATACAGCGAAGATGGGAACCAGTGATTTCATAGGCGAATAAAGTCTCTACGGTGACCGACCTCAGTTAACGGAAAAGAGCCGCTCTCTCTCCTCCATTCAGTTTCTCTTTGGATAACGCGCGCGCGCGCTACGCACATGGATTCTATAACTGTTGGGCACATTTATTTCAAGATGATGAGGGTGATAATTATGATGTCACCAGAAGCACGTCGCTTCGCCACAATTGTAAAGTCCAATTACAATAAGTGAAAGTGCACTGAAAGACCTTAAAGCACTTCGGAAGGTAGTGGACCTACAGTGCCAGTCAAGTGCATTTATGAACTTGCTGAACTCGTCTTTTGCTCAGCCTATTTCTTCCGCCTTCTTTTCATCATTCTGAACACTTAGTAGTTTGAGAAGATGGAATTTGCTATGGTGGGCGCGGACAGTGGGGGCTGTAACACCCACCTGCCCTATGGATATGCCCAAGCTCGCGCACGGGAGAGAGAGCGCGAGAGGGAGAGACAGTCTCGCGCAGCGGCGGCAGCTGACGCTGGAACGGTCGGAGAGGGAGGTGGGTCGAATGGCCATCCCCAGAACCACCCGCATCAGAGTCGCACCGCCTCTTCAACGAATGCCAACAACAGTAGCGCCGGGACCGCCTCGCGCCCCTCCTCCTCCTCCTCCACCTCCTCATCGCAACAGCCGCAACAGCAACAGCAGCAGCAGCAGCAGCAACACCACGAGCAACCACAGCAACTTCTCAGAGAGAGAAAAAAGGAAAGAGGCGTCGCGCGCTGGAGACGGAACCGCGCGGCACTCGGCGGGGATCTGCGCCAGTCAGAGTTGGCGCTCCTAGGATCTGACGAGGACGTCATGATCGAGGAGGACGAGGCGGAGGGCGAAGAGGAAGAGGAGGACAAGGGAATCAAGAGGTCGAGTTTTGTCTATATCATGGATCATGATGAAGAGGAGACGGTTTCGTTAACGGACAGACGTCCCCAGTCAGGCTACGAAAATGTTTACAATGAGTACGGCTGCTGCGAGAGAGTTTTCATCAACGTGTCGGGCTTGAAGTTTGAAACTCAGCTGAAGACTCTCGCCCAGTTCCCGGACACTCTCCTGGGGGACCCTGAGAAAAGAATCAGGTACTTCGACCCTCTGCGTAACGAATACTTCTTTGACAGGAATCGCCCGAGCTTCGATGCCATTCTATACTTCTACCAGTCAGGGGGGCGTTTAAAGAGACCCGCCAATGTGCCGTTTGACATCTTTTCCGAGGAGGTCAAGTTCTATGAACTCGGGGAAGAGGCAATGCTAAAGTTTCGCGAGGATGAGGGCTTCGTGAAGGAGGAAGAGAAGCCGCTGCCCGAGGACGAGTTCAAACGCCAGATCTGGCTGCTGTTTGAGTACCCGGAGAGTTCAAGTGCAGCCAGGGGGATCGCGGTCGTGTCAGTGTTGGTCATCGTCATATCCATAGTCATTTTTTGTTTGGAAACATTGCCAGAATTCAGGGACGACAAAGAATTCCACAGCCCAGGTAAAAACTCCACGCAGGCAGACAATGGATTTACGCCATTCAACGACCCCTTTTTCATCGTTGAGACGGTGTGCATCATTTGGTTCTCGTTTGAGATAATTGTGCGCTTCTTTGCGAGCCCCAGTAAAGCTGATTTCTTTAAAAACGTTATGAACACCATAGACATCGTCTCTATTTTGCCTTATTTCATTACTCTCGGCACAGACCTAGCTCAACATGAAGAGAACGGGCAACAGGCAATGAGTTTCGCGATCTTGAGAATAATACGGCTCGTCCGCGTGTTCAGGATCTTCAAACTGTCTCGGCACTCGAAAGGTCTCCAGATCCTTGGGCACACTTTGCGCGCGAGCATGCGAGAGCTGGCGCTGCTCATCTTCTTCCTCGTCATCGGTGTCATCCTGTTCTCCAGCGCGGTGTTCTTCGCAGAGGCAGACGAGCCCTCGTCACAGTTCACCAGCATCCCAGACGCGTTCTGGTGGGCTGTAGTGACCATGACCACGGTGGGCTACGGGGACATGAAGCCCATCACGGTCGGGGGTAAAATCGTGGGCTCGCTGTGCGCCATTGCCGGTGTCCTGACCATTGCGCTTCCAGTCCCTGTCATCGTGTCCAACTTCAACTACTTCTACCACCGAGAGACTGATAACGAGGACCAGACGCCCGTTGTGGAACAACCACCGCCTGGCTGCCCGTATTTTACGGATTTCCTAAGAAAATGCAAAGGGTCCCAATCGGGGTCGTCTTTGGGTGACAAGGCAGCTGAGTATATGGAGATGGAGGAGGGCGTGACAGAATCCCTGTGTGGGGGTGACACGCAGAGCCCTAGCAGAGGGAACGGGACTGACATAGGCGGAAAAAACAGTTCACATTCACGAACCCTACAGACAGATGTATGATAATGGAAGAACGATAACCTCCCCAAGAGGTTTTCATGAAGATGACTGCACAAATGAATCAGTTAACAGCACACATGCACAACTTGAAGACATATAGCCTACAGTAGCCTACGCGCGTGCGCTAACACACAAAACACACTCATTAAGTTCTGGACCTGAGCTGAAACGTTTTTTGCAAAGTGGCTACTTTTGTAGAGAAACATACCCTGTAATCACGTGACAGGCAACGCAAAAATCACCAGCTTTACGTGACGTGGAGAGAGGTGTCTCTATCTGCCCACCTGTTCAGTTCAGTTGACCGAACTAAACGACTCCCGGTTCATTAATGAAGACAACAAGGAACTTGCATAGGCACTTTATGAGTTACATTTGTCAGTAATTGTAGGTAAAAAGAGTCGAGTTCTTATCTAATGCTATTATGCAATAACGTTTAAATCGTTTGCACTATCATCAATTATGTTATAGTCTCCCAGTTTAATGCAGAGGAAAGAACATTGAAGGACATTGAAAAACGACTAATAGCCTAACCATAATCAAATTTGCTTTATTAATCAATTCGAAATAATAGCAAACATACGCTGCAATCGTCACTGTTGAGAACCAATTCAGTTAATGGCAATGACTTATTTTAACTTAGCCAATTTAAATTATTATACATAATTGGAAAGCAGCATGTTGTAGCCTAATTTAAGGCAATGCTATCTTAAATCTCATTATGGCAAACGTGTGTCCGCATGGCAGTATTCAGTACTACAGTGGTAAAAAACCCCTTTAGCACACCCCTGTGTGTTTTTTTGTACATTGTCCACGGTGACTGAAAGAGTCATTATAGTCAGTCCCCTTTGTGAGTATTGATAAAACAATCAGTCATGTTAGTTTTTGTTCATTAGCACAATATTTAAAACATCTTCACGCAATCAATGATTCTTTTTTTTTTTTTCTAAGCATCAAAGACACATTTTGGAATACTTAGGCCAAAATAACCGTTTCACATCGTCTCACAACACCTTGTACAACTGAATCAGCGACACCATGGCTTGAAGGATCAGTTTGGCCAATGTTTTCAAGTTACTGTCATGGGAGTATATTTCAAGGGAATGCTTCATGCAACTATTTGTCTTCATCCCTTTACCAAATGACAATGCATCCCTTTATAAAAATGCTGACGGAAATGTACTGCACGGAAGGGAACATGAACTTGGTGGACTTCATGCACAGCGAATACTCATCCTATTGGAGTGCACGATTACCACAAAGCATGCGCAGTGAATCGCAGAACCCAGGTAAGCGTTCTGTGTAATGAAATGGTGAAGTCACAAACACACACACACACACACACAGCAATTATATTGTCATTATTCACGCTGAGTGTTATACGGCATCCAGATGTTGTTTACGCATGTGCTCAGGTGTTTCCGCATCTGCGTGGACTAGTCTGTCAGGGCTAAGGAACAGGTGTTCCACGTGATCTCAGCAAGCATGCGACTTCAGATTTCATGTTTTTTTTATTTCATAATAATATATCAACAATGCCTTGGATTGCTTAGCAACAAGGGCCTTATTGTCAAAGAGACGAGTAACCGTGCTGTGTTTCCTTGGAATCCAGATATCCTCATTGCTCATTAAGTGTTCCGAGCTTCATTTTCTGATGTCATAATAGCAGTTACCATCTTTTTGTAGACAGGATAATTGCCATTTAATCTCCAGTAAACCGATATTTTGTCATTAATAAGACATACTCTTAACACACGCTACTGGGAGATAACTATGACCTCCTTCGGCCTTCCCATCTCACACAACACGATTACTTGGCCAACGTGTACTTGTATAAAATATGCACACTTGATATTAGATTATCATAAGTGCCTTGCGTTTCTGCATGCTAGTCTAATCCATGTGGGTTTATTACAAGAAACGGTTAGAAGAAAAAGTAACAGACGACTGGCATTATAAGCTGTTAATGCTGCACCTCAACAAACTATGCACACAATGTACAGTGTCTCTTTTCAGTAGTGATCCTCTTACAGCTTAGTAGTAGATGCACTACTGATAACAAGTTATAGTCAGTGTGCTTAAATAGTATGCTTATATATATATATATATATATATATATATATATATATATATATTTAAGCATACTATTGCTTTATGGCTTAATGTGTTTATAGTTCTGTCATCATTTACTCACCCTCAAGTTGTTCCAAACCTGTATGGGTTTCCTTCTTCGGCTGAACACAAAATAAGATATTTTGAAGAATTGTGTTTTCTTGTGTTCATTGTGTTTATGGAAGTCAATGGAGTCCATCAACTGTTTGGTTTCCGACCTTCATCAAAATATATTCTTTTGTGTTAAGCAGAGGAAAGAAACTCACACCGGTTTGGACTTGATGGTGAGTAAATGATGACAGAATTTTCATTTTTGGGTGATGACAGAATCACCCCATTTGAGTGAACTATCTGTTTAATGTACATTCATGCCCTTATTAACAATTCATTGGTGCTTGGCCTTCATTTTCAAAGTCTTCATAATCTTTAATCAGAAGTCAATAACTTTACTTTGCTCTTGCTGTGAAATGACTTTCCTTTTTAACATCACTTACTTCGCACAGACTGTCAGATCATTTTAATTCTAATATTTTAATACTCTAATATTTATACTTTTGTATATTGTTTTAACAAGCTCATATTCATTTAATTGGTAACTATCCTGCTTCACTTGGAAATACATAATATTTTGGATCTATCTGATAGATATATATCTGTTTGTCTGTGTCTCACACATTAGAGAAAGATAATTGTTTTTTTGTTTTTTTCATTTATGTGGTATATATCAAATTCAGTGCTTATGATATACTTTTTTCATGCCTTCTGCTACAAAATTTTGTGTTATTGTTTGCTGTTATGGGAGTGTATTGACTGTCCCATTGCACTGCAAATAATAAGCATTAGTGAGTAGTCTTTGTACTAAATCTTTAGGGTTACTTTTGAAATCTAACATGATATTCAGTAAATGAGGATATATTGATAGCCCTTAAACACTATGGGATTCTGCTTGCTGAGTCATGCTGTACTTTAGCACATACCCGCATAGGCACTCATATTCATTATAACCCAGGCTATTAAGCACTCGTTTACAGGTTAATGTTGCATAGCCTGTGGAGAGGTGTTACACTAGCTGTGTCTTCATTTTCTGCTGGTTTAGTTCATATTGGACTGCACCAATACTTCACAGCACCAGTTATTTGGAGTGCTGAACATTTTGGGGCTGTGACATAATTACTGTTACCCATCTTGAGCAGTTTCTCTGTGCCTAAGTGTTTTTGTCAATAAGTCCAAAAGCTGAATCTGCTTCTATTTCTGAGTATATTTTTGAAAACAGTCTCTTGTGCTCTAGTCCAGGTCTTTTGTGAAATGCCTACCAAACTAAAAGTTGGCTTCTTTCTCAGACTTCTTCTCTTAATATGTCTTCAATCTGTCCTTCTTCTATCTCCGTTCCTTCCATTTGCCCCCTCTTATCCTTCTTTCACAGCCATTGTAAAATAAGTACTACAGGGTGGAAGCACATCCCCCAGTTTGTGGCAGCCCTCCTCACTTCTGGGTAGAAAAACTCAAAAAATCACATGTAATTCATGCGAGATCAATGGGCTGTACCGTTCACATTCACATTGCATGCTATTTGTTTAAAATGTAGGTCCATGTGTGTGCTTGCTTGTCTGCGAGAGTATAATAAATCAATAAAACTCTTCACCCACATCACCTTCATAAATATCAGGCTCAATGCCACAGTAAATGGATATTAAACTAGATTTCCTTATATCAATCACCCATGACTATGACAGACAGTTTGCCATATTGATAGATCAGCGTAGCAGCACTCATTCTCATAACACATAACACTGACTCTCTGTAAATATCAAGACTGGCATTTGAGCAGTGTGGAGGGCCAGAATAATGTGGCATTAGTCCAACCGAAAGCAATCAGCATCACTCCACTCGGGGCATTAATTAGCTGCCGTGCGTGATGTGTGTCGTATGACAGAAGTGTAGCTGTACTTGGCTTGATCACCATACCCACACATACACTGAGGCTTAGCGGATGATGGGGAAATCAACAGAACTATAGATTAGAAACTGAGTTGTCATTGGCAGATTGTTCACTTTGTAAACCCCTCATCTTCTTCCTGTACATCGGAACAGCATAAACAACAGCACTGCATGTGTTAAAATTGGTTGGGAAGAAAAACACAAGCTAGTTACCCTTGTGTAACCTTATAAATGAGCGTTTTTATTTCTGCTGCTAAGTGTCATCTGAACCGTTGTTAGTGTCAAGTGCAATGTGTGGCCTCAAGCACAGGTGGTGTGATGCAGCTGACAAATTAGCATTACTTCTTGTTCCGAGTAGAGCAGTGTTTAACATCTTAATGACATGGAGGTACGTGTTCCTGCTCAGAGGGGTACAAACTCTTTTAGGATTACAGGGCTTGATTTAGGGCTTGTTGAATGTGAACTGGGCTTGTTTAATTCAGAGTCCTGCAGCTAAGACAAAGTTCAGTAAGGTCTCGAGCATGGTCAATGACCATGATCAAGAAAAAGAAGAAAAACTCTTTGTATTCATGGTGGTTTCTTATAGTTTTTTTTTATATATATATTTTTAGCCATTTTCAAGAAAAGCTTCAGTTTAATGAATGTTGTGCAACTATCAACTAAATTATAATTGTAAAATTGAATCGATATACAACAGGACTAAAGGCACAGCTTAAGAAAAATCTGCTTTTCACTACACCCATAGTGTATGATTTCAGAAAAAAAGATATTATTGAACATTGGAGCAACAGATTTTTTGTATGAGAATAAATCATAAAAATGGTTTGTTTGCTTATTTAAAAATCTTATAAATGTATGAGGTGGCAAGGTGGGCCTTTTACTCCACACATGGGAGTAAAATGTGTTTTTACACAGTAAAATGTCATTAAAATATGTTCATTTTAAAAATACAAAAAAATACAATTCTGAAAGCATCAAATGAGATCCCACAATAATGCAATAGGTACTGTAGCCTACATTCTATGTTGAATCTGCCAATTTGATGTCTGTCTATTTGATGTTTTTCCTCATTTAACACAATATTAATTTCTCAGCCAAATATGATGTGCAATTAATTAATCGGCACATCGTGTTATTAATTAAACATTTTAATCGCTTGATATATACTGCATATCCAGTATAAGCATTTTTGTGTAGTTACATCACATGACATTTTACAACTAGAACTAGCCTTGTCTTGCAAAGGTCAAATCATGTGATATTTTAAGATACTTATTGGCCTTGACACACAGTCATGAGGGTCTGCAGGGGTCCTTTCTATTATATCCTAATAGAAATTCATATTTTGATAAACATGTAGTCGCACCACATGACTTCTAAATTATTTTGCATGTCAAGAATTTCTCTTTTAATAAGGCTTTTTTTTTCTTCAGTATGATATCTGGACAGTTGTATCACCCAAGTTTGTTTTTAAAAGGGTCTTTTTAAAACAGAAATAAAAACATGGCCATCATAGAATAGATGTATCCAGTCATTGTAGAAAATAAGTGTCACGTCATTGCTCTTAAAGGGATAGTTCACTTTGAAATTAATTTTTGATATGTTTTAGCTTACCTCAAGGGCATCCAAGATGTAGGTGTCTTTGTTTCCACAGCATTTTCAATTTTGACATTTTTTGGTCAAACCGTTGTTGTCTGTCAGTCATACACTGGAGGTGAAGGGGGTCCTCAAAGAGCATGCACAGAGAAGTCAAAATTAAACATGATTTAATGACTCATACATGTAAGTACACATTGATGGCTTAAGACACGAAACGAGCGGTTTGTGTGAGAAAATGAACAGTATTTATATCGTTTTACCTCTTGTAATCATAGCCATGACAAAATGATCTGACGGCACGGGCGCTTCGGTCTGCGCATGCGCTGGAAATGATCGCTTGCGCGCCTACGTCACTCTTTGTTTATCCTTTCACTAGTTTTACCAGAAGTTTTACCTTTCACTAAACATATTTAGATATACGGGAAACCGCAATGGAAGGCGATTTCGGTATATCTAAATATGTTTAGTAAAAGGTAAAACTTCCGAAATCTCTGTGTAAATATTGAGTGACGTCACACGCAAGCGATCACTTCCGGCGTAACATTGAACTGATTCAGTTCGGTTCAGTTGGACATTGAACAACTGATTCAGATCACTTGGA